AACTGGATCAGAATGCTGTAAGAGAAGGCCTAATTGTGGTGCTGAAATCTCGTGTTCTGAAACAGTAGCGGGCACCTTGAAGTCATGAGTATATAGCGACGGGTAGGATGGCGGGTATCAGCTACCGTGTTCATTGAGTGAGCTGTGGAACTCAGGGGAGAGAAATACAGAAATATTTGGAAGGGACTGTCCTGCTCTGGCAGCAAACACGGTTCCCACGGACTAACAGAAACAGCAACTTGGAAACACCGGAGAATATGCGAGTCTGTGCTGTGACAAAACCGTACGCTCACAGTTGCTGGTGTAGAACAGGGTTACAAACCTCAGTATAACAAGGAACGCATTATAGAAACGCTATGTTCATTAATTAACGTAGGATGGAATTAAAATTCGTATTTACTACTGAAGGAAACCCGGACAAACCTCAGGGTCAAAGAGAACACCTTGCGGGAGACTGCGCTTACTAATTAGCTTTACATGAAAATGTAATTATTATTCACGGTTGAAAGAAATTACGAGAATTCCACGGATAATTGGGAGCCTGTTAAGAAAAATGTTCTCTTCTTCTGTCTGTCACTTCCAATAAAATCAACGTCTTCGGTTAATATTACAGCGATTCTCTTTATCACGTATTCGTGCTTCACATTAAAGTATTAAGCCGGCTTTAGTCCTTTTCCGTGAATCATGGTTGCTGGTTCAATAACTAAATACATTTTCACGTCATTTTGAATCAAATCGGGAAAACCTTTCAGGCATAAGTTGCATCATTTCAAAATATCAACAGAAAATTAGAAAGAATTTTATTATTATTCTGCCTACAAACGTCGAACCGCGGATCATAGCCTGAGAAACACTAATGTACAAGTAAATTGCCGCATGGAAATTTAGACTCTTTATCGGCAGAGAAGTTACACGTACAATACTATACATATATTCGGTGCACCTCAAGATTATTTAAGCACTGTCAATATTTCAGGGGATCTGAAATGCTTCGCGCATACATTTTTCTTAATCCAAATCAGCAGATGGCAGTGGGCACATATGAACGTACATACAAACAGAGTTAAGTTAAATTAGGGTTTGCCGGCCATGCAGAAGGAGAGACAGAAACAAGCAGAAAATAAAGAAGTGTTAGTTGCTTTGTTAGTCGGTCAGTCAGATATTTGATAATTTGTACGATCATGTGTGGAATCTGCCATAAAATAATTTATCTTATTTCACTCCGACGACAGTTTTCTTTCTTGATTGATACAAATTACGCCACTTCAGACAAATGTAGGTACAAGCTAACAACAGACGTGACTTCACGCCTAAACCCTTTACACAATTTCACAAAGTCCTATCCGAATGGTGGAGCTACACAGATGCGTGCAATTCGCAGAACTGCAAAAACTTGAATTAATATAAACGTTCCTTGGGTCACAATGGAACGCAGGACTAAAACAAAACGATTTCTCTTTGTATATTCTCAGTACTTCCTGTGAACTTGAGGAAGTGAACTAGTCGTAGATGGGTGGAGAGTGCAGCACGAACTGGGCAATAAGATATTACTAAAATTTCCAATACAATACAACAGCATTTTTAGTACAACACAAATTTAAAGTAGGAAGATTTTCTGGTATCCGGCCTGTCCATCTATCAGTGGTCAAATATCAGAGGCACTGTCCATGAACTGATCTGATTAACGCTTACTCTCGGACACGTCATTACAGCAATTGTTTTGAAACATCCTGTGGCACTAGGATTGGTGGTGTACTTGAAAGCCTGTAGGATCGTCACTTCGTTGAAATATTCAGCACACTAATTAGAAACTGATGGGTTATCTAACAACATTGTATCAACTGCGTAAGTTACTTAGCGTCGGTCTCAGCTCAGTGAGGTATTGCTTCCCTGAGAAAACCCGGTCAGAAGTGACGCTGCATGAGCAGCGTGAGGCAGGGGCAGTCCAGACTCTCACATGAGCCAGTGGGTGCGTGTCCTGTACATCCTGAGTGCGATAAGCAGAAATGCTGAGGCTGAATTCTGATCAACATAGGCAGCACAACACAGCAGTAGACAGGGAATGATAAATAAGACAAATGAGAACCCATTTATATGTGGTGAAATGAGTTGCAAGCCGAAGACAGCAGCAAATTATACCATCTGGGATCAGAGATGTGGAGACACAGATAAGAAGTGCACACAAAATATTAGTGGGAAACCCTGGAGGAAAGAGATCACTAAGAACACTGAAACCAATACGGGGAGATGATATTAAAATGGATCTCACAGACATATGATATACTTGTGTGGACTGGTTTCATATGGACCCCGGTAAGGTGGGCACTTGTAAGCCTGGTAATGAATTGTCGGTTGCTTAGAAGGGGTGGAATTTCGTGAACAGCTGAACAACTACGCCTAGATGAAATAGGCAGAAATGCCTAGGAAGCAGAGGCCACAAGGGAAAACCTAGACGTAGATGGAAAGACAACATGAAAATGGGCTTGAAAGGCAGGATACACGGTGTGTACTGGATTCATCTGGCTCCGGATAGGGACAAGTGGCGGGCTCCTGTGAACATGGCAATGAACTTCTTGGATCCCACTGAATGACGGGAATTTCTTGTGTGGCTGAGCAACTACTGACCTCTCAAGGAGGACTCAGCGGCTAGCAGGAACTGGACGTATGGCCGAAGTGGGACAGAAGACGCCGAAAGCAAGGCCGCAGATAAAAGTGAAGTAATGACTGAAGTGTGGGTCTGCAGTGCCGGTAAGCGGCCACATTCTGGAGAGGACGGCGAGATGTGTTGGATGCTGTCGTGGCCGATTCAAGTTGTGTCAGTCTTGCCAACACTTCTAAACGGCAAATGCAATTAACTCCACTAACATCAAGGCTAAACGTTAAGGCCTAGGTATCTCTTGTCCAAATCTCAGCTAGAAATATTAATTAAAAAAAAGTCGCAATTAAACAAAAATCTGAAATAATTCCATAAACTGTGTTGCAATGTTTCGCTTCTGTATCACATTGTCCAGACAGCAACTACATAACAAACTAACCTGTCTGAGATTTGTACATCTTTATACGTATATATATTGTAACGTGTTTAGGGTTTACTGAGTGCCTTGTCACAGTAGGACCGGTGCCACGTCGCCGTGTTTGCGTATAGCCTAGCAACGCTGTTTACTCGCGCCGAGTTACGTCACCGCGCGTTGCGTGTTACGTCACCGCGGGGGGGGGATGGAGCGCTGACTCATCCGCCACGTCACTGTGGGGGGGAGGGGTTGTCCTCCATTGCGCAACATGTCACAATATACATATACATATATATATCTCAGTTAGAAACTATAATTGTAGTTTAAGACTAATTATAAATACTCTCATAACGATAAATGTCAAGTTACTCCTGGGCTTTAATTAATTAAACACCACGCCATGAAGACGGTGGTGGAACTATACCTCCACTCCACCCTACATCAGTCCCACTGAGAGGCCACTAAATATACTTTGCTGGGAAACTGATCATACAGCAACTGCATAATAAACTAACTTTTCTACGATTTCTATAGCTATTTCTATTAATATTTCTATTACTATTGGTAATAATTATAATGAAGAATAACTATAAATAGTGCCATTATGGCGACCAGTTAATATTCTCATTCACCGTCAAGTCGTTCATATACCAGCTATATAATAAACATAACCCTGCACCTTTTCCGGTTTCCATTAAGTTATTTATGGATAATAATAATTACAATTAAATTATAGTTAGAAATTGGCTCCTACCAATTTGGTCATATACAAATTATATATTAAAGCTAAAATCTCTACGATTTCTACAGCTGCTTTCATTTTTATTAAGTTACTTACAGATTTTTTTTNACCTGCATGAAACTCGTGCAATGTCGTGCTCACTGCCTGCTTGTTCACACACCTTCTACAAGGTAAAGTAACATTTTTAACGGCTTCTGACCTTGTACATTTCCTCTTCATATTAATCAGAATTAATAATTATAAAGAAATACGACTATATGGTTACTGGGTAACAATTTATCAGATGTCATTCTACCTAGAAACAAAATCACGTAGACTACCTGTTGGAGTGTGTAGGAGGAAGTGGTCGTGACCAGCCATGTCAACAGAAACTCAATTAATTCACGAAAAAATAAACACAAGCATATAGCACCGCACTGGGTTCGATCGGAGTAGTGTTGGCTTGGAAGGCAGCAGCGTCAGTAGCGGGGCATTCGAACTCTGTGGTTGTTGTACCTCTGTGCATCGTAAAGCTAACGAGCTTAAGTTTCATGTTTGTTTGAGAACACAAAATTCGTTTCCATAACTGATATTTTTATAATAATTCACTGTTCCCTCGCAAACCGATGTAACTGCAGTCAGTTTAGCCTTGGCGCTGTTACGTCACTGTTGCTAGAAAATGGCAGAAATGCAGACGTGTGTCTTCAATGACGAAACAAGATACGTAAATGGTGACGTCACATCTAAGTGTCTGGCTTCATTCGTGTAGATCCCTGAATATTATTATAACAATTTATCAACCGCAGCAAACTCACGTCTAAAATGTCTGAAATTAAGATCTGAAAAATAAATGACTATGAACTTTATAAATTGCCGTATTTGTTAATGCATAATATCAAGTTTGTAATTTATATTACTTTTAATATGTTCACGAAAGCGCCAAAACCTCAAATCCAATATGGTTGCAGACGAGTTCAATCAAACATCCATGTTCATATATCTGCTAGTAAATTACGAATTATGCAGTTTCTGGAGAGGAGGAAATTATGAGTGACTCTAAAATATTACAAACATATAGTTACGAACTTCTAAATACGTCCACTCTGTTATAACACTTAAAATATTAAACACTTCTTTCATCAAAAATTTGCGCCAGAATTTCCTCCAAATTTTCACGTAATTCTTGATGCTAAATATCTCTTGCAAACTATAATTATGCACATCTTAACCATGATATATGCAATTTCAATCGAAATGAAAATACTAACATTTATAAAATTGCTATATATAAAGGTAATGAACGCTGTAATATTCGGAAACAACGTCACTTCGGAAAGTACCATAACCTGTTCGCCAAGCAAAGTACTTCAACGTGGTTTCTCCACTTTTCAACATCGCATTCAATTAATATAAAGCCACAGATACTTGCAAATCCTCTAATTAGCACAACTCACGGTACTGCAGACTGTTCTGCCGCACGAGATATGCATGGGGAGGTAACACACTCGAACACACACGGAAGTCCAACTTGACTCGCTCGCATGCAACGACCCACTGCAGCCACTGGAAGGACGGAACGAAAGTGGCGTACCGTGGGAGACGATTTCGGAACATCAGAACTCCTATCGAGATGCACCTAACGTCCAGCGGTGGATTTCAAGATGTGTAATCAGACGTCCATCATAGTTTCCGTGGCAGTTTCCTTACCTCCGAATTTTAAGCTTTCTTAATGATACCGTGAAGATATTATTTAAGCACTACGCCATGAAGACGTATGGGGGAGTGGAGGTGTAGCTTGCACCATTCTTGACCTCTGCTCTAGATGGTGGTGAGTGGTCAGCCTCACGCGCCGGCCGATTTATCCCCGGGAAAAAAATACCCTGTTACGTATTGAAACGGAAGTTGGATGGGCCCCAGAGGTGGTTTAGACTCTGTGGAGTAGAGAAAAATCTATTGCCCCTGCCGGGAATCAAACACCGGCCATGCAGCCCGTCGCTGTGCCGACTGAGCTATCGCGGCTCCTAAATTATAATGCATTGTATTTATTATTTGTTTATAAAACATTGTTTCTGACGCAAAGTGGTGGCCATAGGCCATTGAAAATAAAGTATGGAGGAGAAATTACGAACTTATAGAAATAAACGGACAGGTGAATCAGATAATGGAGACCATTTTTATATGTTCTGGTGCATAATTGGTACAGATATCGGTTGTAGCTAACATTACAGGTAGGAAGGGTATGTGTGGGCATGGAGGTAACGAGCCAGTCGTTCTACACTTCGAGACTACATTTAGAAGACCCAGATTCCTGGAAGTCGAAGCGAAGAGGAGAATCCTGCCCTGCTGGTACTCGAACTCGTGTCATCTGGCCCAGTAACCAATCACTTCACTGACGCAGTTCACACTCTCAGCACGGTGCAATTAAGGAGTTACTAAAACGGGCATGTAGCACTCATGAAAATTTTGGGAAACTGGAAGCAGGAGTAAATAGGGAGACGCAGGAGATAATATTAAAAAGGATACTTGACAAGTCATTGAGTTTGTCAATTATAATAAACCACAAACGTGTAGTTAAACTTCCCGTATGTTACTGGTTTCGTAATGCTGCTACGTCACCCAAGTAGAGGTTACGATGGGCCGGCCACGTAGCCTGCAAGAATGAGAAATTAAATAGGTGTTTTGTAGGAAAACAAATTGCGTAGCGACTTGTTGCGACACCGGAAACGGAACTGAAGAAAGAGAATGCGCTGGATCTTGATGCCGCAGGGATGGCAGGCCGCTGCAGGGTCGCGTTCAGTGATCTATTTATTTTATTGAGGCTGTTCAACATTCTTGCAACATGCGATTGGAGAAAACTGCACAACTAGGAGCTCCATAATTTGTAAACTTCGCCAGATCTATTTAAAGATGAAGTCAGAGTAGATGAGATGGGATGGCATGTAGCACGCATGGGGCTTAGAGGATAGGAAATCCAGTAGGACGAAGATCACTAAGAATACATAGACGGAGGTGGGAGAAAAAATTCGCTTAGTGGGGGGTGGAGTCCAGTTGGGTCCACTCAGCACGGTGGCCACTGACTGGCCTATTGTGCCTGCCCGCGTGATTATGATGATGGAGAATTTGGTGGAATGAAGCTTGGCAAGGGAAACCGAAGTACTCGGAGAAAAACCGCCCCAGCGCCACTTTGTCCACCACAAATCCCACTTGACCAGAGCCGGGATCGAACCCGGGCCGCCGAGGTGGGAAGGCAGCTATGACGCGACTTTCCTAGGTGGGAGAATATTATTAACATGAATTTTCGACGAACAGTTTGGTGTGGTATGGATTGAATACACCTGGCTCGGGATGGAGACCAGTCAGCGGCTCTTGTGAACACGATAATGAACTCATGGATTCCATAAAATGTTGCGGAAATTCTTGAATAGCTGAGCAACTAGTCGCTGCTTAAGAAGGACTGAGTTCCTTGAGCTAATGGGGTTCGAACCCCGCTGTGGACAGAAGATGCATCTATTCAATGCACCTGATTGGTGTCGAATGTGTGCCGAGTACTCACAGGGTTTGCTTAGTATCCGTGATGCCCCCAGTTCTAGTGTTGGGCATTTTGATTCAGGCTTTCAGTGTTGTTCCTCAGTCACTCGATTCGATTGCCTTAAGTAGGCCACGACCATTCTAGGTCCTCTGAAATATATACCATTGAAAACCACCTCTCCCCCATTTCGGCAATGTGAAATGTGCGAAGTTGACTAATAACTTGACCAGGAAAGAGACGCAGTATCATGTACTCGGATAAACAGAAAACAAGCATATATTCAATTGGAACAAAAGAGGCCGGAGAATGAAGCTGAACACTCATTCTCAACGTGTGTTCTGTGGACTAGAAGCTATGGAGTTCTGCCTTCACGTCCCCTATACGCTTTCATGGTCTCATACATAGCACAAGGACATTTAAAATTACACTAACGATTGATACCAGTTATCTGTATCAAGGGCTTTACAGTCTTTTGTTAACTGTTTATTTTATTAAATTTTAATCTTCTATTTTGTGGCAGTCTTAGGTGGTCCAACATGCAATCCGCCACTTGCATAGAGACAAGTGAATGTCAAGCCTAGACACACATGTACAAACCTCCCCTTCAACCCCTCCTTGCACCAGTTACTACTGATCACTACGGGAAACCCTGTCTGAGGCTATAAGCAGCCATTTTCTTTTCAGATCAAATGACAAAAAAATTCGGCAATATAAAACGTAACAGTTTGTATGAATGTATGTTTGTAAGGAAGTATATTACGACTTATACCGATTCTAAACTTTACGTAAGTACTGAATACCAAGTAATTTCGATTGTAGCTGCATTGAAAGTGCAAGATACCCGAGTTCGATTCTGATCGCTTCCAAACGTGAAAGTAGTCTCTCTCTCCGTAAATTACACGATTATCATTGAACTGCATCTAACTATGTCTTCCAACCGCACCTTAGCGGTCTTGGCTTTGACTCCAGAATATTATGTAGATCAAAACTCGTTGACTAAGTTTTGTACGTTTTGCAGTAATGTTAGGTTTGTCCCGGGGAGGGTGGAAATTCAGGGCCAGTTTATTCACATATCAGGCTCACTGCAAAGTTCATGTCACGATCAAGTACCAAAGTCTTTTAACAATGTTAACGGAGTGTTGCAATTACAGTGTGTAGGATCTCTCAGCACGGTTGAGAATTATTCATTCTGCCACAACATTCCTCCCTTTTGAAGACCGCGAGGGCTCATCACCATTTCACAAAAGCTCGGCCGTGACCAATCCATCTAGTTCAGATACTCATGTCCTCTTCTTTTTACATCAGCTGACCGTACTAGAATGAAAGACCTTTGGCCGTTAGACAAGAAAACACGTACTAATGTGTGTACATACTCCGTGGCCTGTACTCCGCAAGCGAAACGCGACTGCCGCTTGTCGGCGAAGATAGTGCCAAATTTTCGGATAGAGGGTTTCACGTGGTGAGCTGAACTGATCCCAACGGATGTTAATTTCGGTTTCCTAGACCGGAGCCACTATTTCCTTGAAACAGCTCCCCAATTATCCTCGCGAGGCTCAGTGAAACCCGTTCCAGACCCACGACTTGTCAGAAAATGTGCTAGCGCCGGGAATCGAACCCGGAACCTCTCGATCTATAGCTAGGAACTCTGACCACTAGACCACAGAGGCGGTCAATGTTTGTGTACATACAGGGATATAACAGATTTTATCAATTTTTAATTTTTAAATCATTATAAGCCGTAAAATAAGCTCCCATACTCTTTCACATCACACCAACCTCACAAACAAAATGGCTACCTTAACCACCTTCATTAATTGGCTGACACTAGCGCTGTCGAGTGACATGTTCATTAAAACACTATTTACTCGCGTTGTACTTGGAAATACGTATTTAATCAGTAGAGTTACCCCCCCCCCTCACAACGCTGTCTCGATAGGTCTACTTTACATTTAAAGAAATTCAAAGAAATTTACTCAGAGATTTAAGACTTTGAAGCAGTTTAGTTATTAAATATTACGTTCATAAATACACTTCCTGTCGGTCACGGTAGCTGGGATCCTTGGTTCGAATCCCACTCAGGGCTTGGATGTTCGGTTGCGTTTTTGTGTTTGTGTACAGGTAGAGGCCTTGCGACGAGCTCATCACTC